ACCATTGCAACAACTCTTTGAGGGGTCTGTAGGTGACCTGTTGCAAGGCTAAATTTCTGTCCCTATCCAATATACTCTCATTTCCCGTGGCAGTCTAAATTTCTCCGACCTCAATCCCGGAAGCCCCTTTTACAGAACCTACCTATTGTATTTATTGTTAACTTGTTCTCGTCCTGAATATGCATGAAATATTTGCCACTGGACGTTAAGCAACCAACAACCAATCAATCTTTTGTTCGATTTGGGACAAACACAACCATGTTTATGGCCTTTAAGTGGTATCACCATATGGTGATTGTAGATTTGTTGTTTAGACACAGTTATTACAGTTGTTGGTGAGCCTTGGTGGCAGGGTGGTCTAGGTAGTCGAACAACTGTATCACTAGCCTGTCAACACTGAGGTTGTGAGTTCATATCTTGCATTTGGTATGTGGGATCGACTCCAATCTTAATTGACTAGGATTGTTAGTTTACCCACCGAAGGTCTGTGATTCTCTATGGGCACTCAGGCTTCCTCCAACAATAAAAGCTGACTACCAAGAATTATCACATTAGTGCTGGAAGTGGCGTTAAACACCAGTCAATCATTACAATGGTTTAATCAAATCTACTATAGTTTTTTATGGCATCCACTTGCGTTTGTAGTGGGGCTGGTGAGACTACAATGAAAGTCTAGGTTACTTAGAAAATTTTAAGAAGGAATAAGTACGTAGACTTTTTTTTTATCCCAGTTAACTTATTGGGACTTATATCTACATGTAACCTCCCTTGTAGGATGTAGATCATAAATTTTAAAAGGCAAGTATTGAATTAAAAAACAAACAAAACACAATCTTAAGTTGAGGGTATGTCATGGATAGATAACCCATATCCTTTCTTTCTATTACATATAGCTTATATCAATAATTAATATTTTTACCATGTTTACAGATTCAAATTACAATGTAAAAATTCATGAGGACATGTGAGGAACATGATGAACCTAACAGAAAAATATATAAAACACCTTAAAGCTATAGATATGTGTATTAGTACATAGTCTTGTGTTTGTATTTTGATATTTTTCTGAAAATAAAAAGTTGTGGTATGATCACTTTAATATATGGCATTACTAATCTACCAAGCGAAACTTTTCCTGAATGTTTTAAGGATTTTGATTTAATGTATGTCGGAAAAGGTAAGAGAGAAAGAAAAGGAGCGGGATCGGGGTGAAACTTACCCCCTGTACAGCCCCTCCGTATTGTCCATCTGTCTTTATGTAAAAACCGTTTCCCTCTTCATACTGTAAACGACAAATTTATTTTCCATTACCTGTTTGACGAATAAAAAATATTTGTGACTTCAACACCATAGGAAAATCTTTCTAGATAGAAGACCATAATGAAAATTTATTCAGGATGTATCATGCTATGGATGTATTTATTGGCACAATGTAGCCATTTAAGTACCAAGCCACTCTGACATTTCGTTTTTATAACATTGTTTGACCATTATGATAATAAATTGAATATAATTCAAAGTGGCTTCATTTAAAAAAAGGTCAAGAAACAATAAACTTTATAATTTAGAAATTAGTGTTGTCTTGTTCGTGGAAAAATAAAACATTGAATTGTGACTTTTGTCTTGTGACTTACATATTTTTCATACTATTAACGACAAATATATGTTAAATACATATTTTATTGTATATCAGGTTGGACTGAAAAGAAAATATAAATAAAATTTTATATATTCTACTTTTAGCAAATTCAACAAATTTAGGTACTCAAGTTTCTTATAAAGAAATTAATGAGGGTTCTATCAAGGTAGTTGTGGAAGGGTTGCCAGATGGCATTGCCTTTAAAGAACCATCAAGTTATGGGAAAGAAATCCTAAGAAGCATGTTAAAGACACGAGTGACATTTTTCAATCTTTTATCATAAGAGAAAAATCTTTTTTTTTAAATCAAAATTGTAAACAATATATTTCATAAATAAAAGGAATTAGCAAGCATCATCAATTTGTTGAGGTTTGACTTTTTTCAATTTACAACCAAAAAGGACATATCAGACACCCATCGATGAAGCTAGGGATCTCTCCGGTGAGGCGTACTTGGGGTACACACCTAGAGACAATATTGAAACTTGTTGGCCCAAGGAGAAGAAGCTGAAGAGGGCTTAAGAACACGCAGCAGATTATGTACCTGCGCAGTGATATTAAGGCACTTTACAAGAAAAATGCGTAAAATTGTATGTTATATGGAAGTTCATATCATAAGAAAATGGCAAAACAATCAGGAAAACAGAGATCGTAGAATGAAACATAAAGACCTATATTTAATCTTGCATGGGTTTTTCATATCGAAAGTGAAAGTAGTCACGTGACCCGAGTCGCCACTGAAGGTCGTACATTACATTTTCAACTCAAAAGTCCAGCGTGTTAAAGGAATCTTTGAATGTGAAACAAAGTATCAATACATTCGTTTGAATGTATATTTTCTAAAAAATGCTATCCAAAGATTGAACTATACTGTCTTACAGTAAAAATTAATGTAAATCCGATGAAAAATGTGATTTTTTAACGAAATCCCCATTTGATACTATGATATTTCAATGATATGAACGCATACCAATGTTTGGATAGCAGTTTTCTTTTAAAAGAGATATCAGTCGTTTTAAATCATGTCCAATCAAGTAAATCCATCTTCAGTAACACGCTGGACTTTTTAATTTTTTAATCGTGTACCGTTTAATATTGTTTTACGTTCATTATCAACAAACGCTTTGATGACGCGATCGGCTGTACTCAATAGCGGACAAAACTCCGGAAAAGTATTAATGCCGTGTATTTTAAACTACGGACTTCAAGTAATGTTTTATTTGTATTAACTAATACTGGAGATATATTTGTTCATTTATTCATTAAATATATATATTTGCAACATTTATCCTTGTAAGAATAAAATAATAAATTGCTAAAAGACCTTAAAATAAACAGTATTTTCCCAGATTTGCATTCTTTTTTTGTTTTATTATATTGTTCGTGAATTCAACTAAGGAGTACACAAAATAAATTTGTGAGAAAAAATGTAAAAAGGATTCATGAATCCCCTCCTTTGAGTCTCCCCCTTGATTGCTGCCATCAGTGTGTGTGTGGGAGGGGGCACGGTCATCAGTGTAAAGTAATGTTGACTGCCAAAATTTTATAGCCCATCCGAGATTCTCATGATTATTATCAAAATACAAAATTAAGATATCGAAACGTTCTCTACAAATGCTATTTCTTGAACTTGAAGCTATAAATGTCCAAGAATCACAACATTGCATGAAGCACCCCCCTTCCCACCATGTATTAAAATGTAAACTGAAAAAAAACAGTCCATTTATCAGTAAAATTTGGTATTAAAAATAAAAATTTATAATTTTGCTAGATATCATCTCATATATATATAAATAAGAGCTAATCTGCCCAATAAAAAGAATAATCTATGAAGATGGGAGACTATCTTAATGTTAACTGTAAAAAAAAAATTCTTCATTCGTGAAATATAAAAAGAAATCAAAATTTGGCTGTGACACTGTCCCAAGTTTCGTAAAAACTCTGTTTTTTTAATTGTGCAACACCTACCTGATTCCAGTCATAATTCTTATTTGTCTGGATATTTGCCTAGATTACAGTTGACCTGCATTCATATAGTCTGCATTTTTTAGACAACAAAATTTTCAGCAGACACCACTCTCAGAGTCATATATAAGTGAAAAATTATGTACTTTGGTAAATGTTTGAAGTGGCAGAAATTGGTAATGGAAAAGAGAATGTAGGGAAAAATCATGCAACTGAACTAGGCTATAAGAATATACAAATTGTTTGCTGTACTATAAAACACTCCCACAACTGGTTCAGTTGATTTTTTAATTATATTTTCTACTCCACTGATCCAGCAAAATTTACACTGCTCAAGAATTTCAATAACACTGAAATCATGTGGTCAATATTTAAGTGAAATTAATGAAATTGTTCTATGCTGTGTTCCACTAGTCTTTCTGGTTAGAGTTTGAGCACTCACAAATATGTTTAACCCCACCACATTCTTTGTGTGCCAGTTCCAAGTCACAAGCCTCTATTGTAGTAGTTGTCGTTGGTTAATGTCCGTCTTATGGAATTATATCACATTTACCAGACTGGGGCCTTTTATAGCTGACACTACAGTATTAGTTTTCTCATTTCTGAGGGCTTTACAGTGGCTAAGTATATTTGCTTACATGTACATCTACGTCATTTAAACTCTAGTGGGTAGTTGTGTCAATGGCAATGATAAGACATCTCATTCTTTGAAGTATATGGAGGACAAAACATAATCTGTTTTGTTACTCAGCTCAAACAGGATAGAAATGAGGCAGGCGAGAATTCAAATTATACCTGTGTTTATGTCTTTTACAAATATCTTTTTATTTTATTTTGAGACCATGTATATATAAATATTTTATCTACAAAGTATATTTAGCAATTATGCACCTTGATCAAATTAACAATCACACCATTGTCCTTATAATAGATTTTTAGAGATTCTTTCAGTGGCAATCATATCACCTTATTATTTTCATGCCCAACCAATATCAATAAAAAAAGTACAAAGTGGATATACTACTAGTATAAGCAGGAATAATTGGTATGGGATTTGCTCATTGTTGAAGGTGGTACAGTGACCTGCAGATGTTTTTAAATTTCTGTGTCCTTTTGTCTCTTGTGGAGAGTTGTCTCATTGGCAATGATGCCATATTTTCTTATTTTTATATTAAAGGAATGCAGACCATAATATGAGACATGTCTAGTCATCATATTGTTCATACAAGAAAGGGGGTTAGTAATTGATGATATGTTATTTGTGTCTAGTATTTAACTTTTTGATAATAACATATACATGAAATGCCATTTTACTCCATATAGAAAAGAAAATCCATAGATTTCTATTTCAAAGACCTCCACTCTTGGTAATAAATTTTCAAAAGAAAACAAACAAACAAACAAACACTGTTTTTCTGAACCATTGATCATAAACAAATATTCATGCAATTTTTTAAAAATGAAGTAAATATCATTATAACAGATACTTTGGGTCACAATAACTTCATGAACTTATGCTATAAACTAACTATTCATTGAGTAATAAACAACTAAGAATGTCCAGTGTCTGACATCTTAAAATTAAATTGTAGCTAATACGTCTCCTGGTTAATATATTTTCAGAAAGCTTTAAAGTGTAGCTTCAATTTGAAACATTTCCTAAAAATTTACATCTGTACTACAAGCATATAGTTGTATTAGTTCTTGATCCTTTTCATTTATTCTGTCTTGAACGTTACAAAGATTTTTTTCTTCTCAAGAGATCTGACCAGTGACAAAGAAGTGTAACAATATGAAATTTAGGTTTCACATAAATCATTGTAAATAGTAACTGGAAATGTACACTCAGGTATTGAGTAAAGCTGAAATAGAAAAAATACAAAAATTACTAATCACATAAACTAAACAGAACATTATCCCACAAGCAATAAACAGGATGCAAGTACAGCAGTTTTAACATAAAAGTAAAAATCTAGGCAACAGACCAATAATGTGTCAATAGAGCATCAAAATATAACCCCAAACTGTTCATGTTATACCCCATTCAAAGAAGAGTATGAGGAAAGTGAGTGTTCTTCCAATGTTAGTCCACCCTACATAGGGTTAATGGTTTGTTCATTGAGCAAGTCCTCATTTTTAAGGCTAGAACCTTTTACATTATAAAAGGCATAAGTAAATATATTACTATAATTGTGCATTTTATCAGGATTCATTTTCTTTCTTTATATTTTCCTCAAATCACAGGAATTTGAACTTTGTCATTTGTTTAAATTTGGTAAAATTATTCATGCTAGGTACCTGTATATGGTTTTTCAAGCACACACTTGCAGTTTTTAAATTAGAATTACACTTTACTACTTTGCAGGATGTTTGTTCTTTAACAATACATATGCAGATCAATAGTTTGTATATAATAAGGATTTTGATGTTCCTTTAATTTTCCAAAAAATTAGAACTAGTAATTTTCCTAATGCAGTAATGAAAAGTCCTGTATATTCTATTGTCCTAGCTATAGCTAGTAAACAAAACAAAAATATAGATGAAAGTATCAGAACTGTAGAACACCAGAATCAAAATTGTAAATAAGAAAAACATTCTTCATAAATTGTTAATGTGCAAAACATGAAATATTGCTTATTATGTCAAATTTTAAAGTCCCATAACTCTTGAACGAAATTTGTGGAAATTAATGAAGAGCCTAATTCTTTATAATTTTGTAAAATTAAAAGTTAACAAGATTTACTGACTGTGATGGTTTTTCATTTTCTGTCAGTTGACAGACATATTAAAAAGAGCAGGGTGTCAGATAAAACACTCATGCACTGTACTGTAGTGGTGAAACAGGGTATGTCATTCGACCTGAAAAGTTCTCAATTCAACCCTGAAAAAGGCAAAATGTTTTTAAAGTCTTCTTCTTTTGTTGTCTCTACTAAATAACAAATAAGTATGACATCAAACTTTCAATTACAACCACTTACCCTTAAAGTTAAACAGTTACATGTACTGAGTCCAGATTATTGAAATGAATGCACTAGCCCATCTGACTCCTTAGGTACATTTTTTGCAAGACCGCTCAATCATCAGGTTTTCAGATGAATTAAAGAGGGATACAAATCTTCATTCATCCATATCTGTTTCCTAAAATAAAAAATGTTATAGATAATTGCAAATAACTGTAAAAAAAATTATCCTAAACCAGATTTAAGCATATCTACTAGTATTACAAGAGCCTATGTGATATATATAATCATGTAAATTTAGAAATTAATGCATGCGTACGTACAGACGGACAAGGGTAAAACTTAATGCCCCCACCGCTACGGCAGGGGCATAAAAGTGCAAAATTAAGTATTGCTCTTTCAGGAAAATATGCATACAGACTGTTTAAACATAACTGTTTCCAAGCAACAGAAGCAGGATACCAGAAGATTAAATATTCCTATCCTATAGCTTTATCTCTTTAGATTATCTGTACACCTGTATTTGTATAGTAAAATGTTCAATAATATTTAATTATGGGCTCCTGAATTTAAACCAAATCTATTGATGTGAGCTGATGATTTTTTTGTATCACAAATATGCCTTTTCCATAACTTGTAATCATATTTGAACTAGCTTTCAGAATTTGCAAGTACTTTGTGCCTTTTTTTTGTGCTACGTGTTGGTCGACGATTTAGTCGAGCATTTTTCACCAACTTTGACCATTGTTTACAGTTTGTTCCTATGTTGTAATGATACACTACTGTCAAGGTTAGGGGGAAAAAAGAGGGGGGGAGGGGGGCTTTTTTTAGCTTAATATGGTATGGGTTTTGCTTATTGTTGAAGACAGCAAAGTAACCTATATATAGATGCATCATTTGGTCTCTGGTGGATAGTAGTCTCATTTGCAGTCATACCACATCTTCTTATCTTTATATTAATAGATTTTCTTATGTAACTATTTGTTATATGAATGTAATGCTCCATATATGCATATAGGTCACTGTACAGCCTGATTTATGTGGTACTTGTACAATAACAATAAACATGATAAATGAAAAACAAATATGATATACAAAAACAAATGATAACCAGTTTTAATAAGGAGCTAAAAGAAAAATGCATCATTGAATTTGTCACGGAATAGAAGTTCCTTCATAATATAAGTTCCAAGTGGAAGAAATATTCTGTAATATTGTTTCCATTGGAGTATAAATATTACAGTATTTGTTCCTTACGGAATAAAGGGTATAGAATATTTGTTCCAACAGGAACAGATATTATGACAGTGTCATTGTTTATAACAAAGTTTCCATGGGAACTTCTGTTAGGCAGAACAAATATCGTTGACAAATTTACCTGTTTAAATAATAAAGCTCTCCTAATTCCATGAATTCCAACCATTGCTTTTAATACTTCATCAAAGTGGGACTGGCACTCTGTATCTTGTATTTGACAGGTCAACTAAAAATAAGAGAAAGTAATTATTTAATACATAAACAGATCCTTTTTTTTACAGACGTACATACATGTACATGACATAAGGACTGCAGGCTTTATTTTGAACATTTCTAATTGATCCGTTTCAAATTTCATGGCTGTCATGGTTTAATTTTAGACACTGACAACTGGACAAAGAGTTCTAGAAATCTTTTTTCCCTGGTGGTCCTTAAAGAAAATCTGCTGGTCCTCACTTTATTTCTATTAAACCAAACTTGCATCAGTCCTTTGAAAATTATTGGTAGTCAAAACCTATGGACAACCACTTTTTGAGAACTCTGGTATTTTAATACTATTTGTAAGAATTAAACCCTACACCATGTACACCAACCTTTGTTAAAATATATATATTTAAAACCACAGCAACCATAAATAATTTCCTTCAGGGAGCAACCATTTAACTTTCAGGGGAGGGGGTTATGGTTTTCGCTACCTTTAGCATCAAATGAGCCTTAATTTTTTATCTCGTATCTCATTTTGTAGCTACTTGGCATCAAATGGAGTAAAATGTTTATCTTTAATGTTATTTACACAAATATCTTATCGTCATTCGCCATTCGGCATGTTTGGGGTACCCCATTCTTACCCTTTTAAAGTCCTATAACTATGGAATGACACAGCCAAAATTTTTCAAAATAAAATCTTGATATTGTTGTGATCAAATTACATCAAATTTAAGTTATCTTACAACGTGTTGACAGACAGATGGACATCATGGACATTGGTACAGTTAATATGTCCCGTCTTGTCTTAACAAGCGTATAATAAAATGCTCCACTGGGTGCAACTTGATACGACCCCAGTGGTCGAACCCTGAACTGTTGGGGCAAGTATGGACACAACATTCAAGCTTGATACAGCTCTGAATTTGGATTGTGATTAAATATTTGACACAGCATAGGTTTCTGACACAGAATGAATGTGGTCTAAGAACTTAAAATTTTTTAATTTACCTATTATGGTCCAATATCCAAAATCTAAATACATACACAGTTAGATTCAGCATATCAAAGATTTTTACCCCAAGAATTAAATTTTTGTTAAAATCAAACTAAGTTTTATTTTGGACCAATTGGACCTTAATGTAGACCAATTTGAAAACGGGACCAAAAATTAAGAATCTAAATACACGGTTAAATACAGCATATCAAAGAACCCCAATATTTCAATTTTTGATGAAATCAAACCATATCATTATTATTTGCTTTTATATATAAATAAAAAATAACCAACTTAAAATGGAAAATTTTAAAGAAAAAAAAAGGAAAAAAAAGGAAACCCCCCCCCCCCCAATTTTTGGAACCCCCTTATGATTCATCACCCCCAAACTCAATCCCAGCCTTCCCTTTGTGGTATGGTACCTTGCAGTACAATTTCAGAGAGATCCATACACTTGAACACAAGTTATTGTCAGGAAACTGTAAAAATGCTTGTTTTTTGGCCCCAAATTCCTAAACGTTTAGGGCAATTACCCCCAAACTCATACCCAGCTTTCCCTTTGTGATATGGAACCTTGTAGTACAATTTCATAAAGATCCATACACTTACACACAAGTTATTGTCCTGAAACTACAGAAAGGCTTGTTTTTTGCCCCTTTTTGGCCCCTAATACCTAAAATTTTGAGGCAATTACCCCCAAAATCAATCCCAGCCTTCCCTTTGTGGTATGGTACCTTGCAGTACAATTTCAGAGAGATCCATACACTTGAACACAAGTTATTGTCTGGAAACTAGAAAAATGCTTATTTTTAGCCCCTTTTTGGCCCCTAATTCCTAAACGTTATGGGCAATTACCCCCAAGCTCAATTCCAGCTTTCCCTTTGTGATATGGAACCTTGTAGTACAATTTCAGAAAGATCCATACACTTACACACAAGTTATTGTCATGAAACTAGAAAAATGCTTGTTTGTTGCCCCTTTTTAGCCCCTAATTCCTAAAATTTTGAGGCAATTACCCCCAAAATCAATCCCAGAATTCCCTTTGTGATATGGAACCTTGTGGTACAATGTCAGAGAGATCCATACGCTAACACACAAGTTATTGTCTGGAAGTTACAAAAATGCTTATTTTTGGCCCCTTTTGGCCCTTAATTCTTTAACTGTTGGTACCATAACCCCCAAAATCAATCCCAACCTTCCTTTTGTGGTATTGAACCTTATGGTAAAATTTCATAGAGATCCATTCGCTTAAACTAATGTTATTGTGCGAAAACCAATGTGTCTTCGGACGACGATGACGCCGGACGACAACGCCAACATCATACCAATATACGACTGCAAAATTTTTTGCGATAAAAAGTCAAGTGATTGAAAATTTTGTAACATGAACCATGTCTAGATAGATCATTTTGGAACAAAAATCACTCAACAATAAAAGAGTGGACATGAATGACCCCACTCAAGATTTGCAATTTTCCAAGTTAAAAAGGGGCATAACTCTAGAAAGGTAAATGAATCACAACTGAAAGTCTGTCTGCGTGTTGTGGTTCTTAGCAATTGTGTATGAGTTTCATAAAATTTGCATGAGACATACTAAGTAATTGCGGAAACTCATATTTGGCTGGACAGACAGTCAAGGGTAACACTAAATGCCCTCGTTGCCTAGAGCAGGGCATTAACAAGAATGTTTCCATAGTACACGGATGCCCCAACCGCACTATCATTTTCAAAGTTCAGTGGAACGTGAAATTGGGGTCAAAACTCTAATTTGGCATTAAAATTAGAAAGATCATACATGTATCATAGTGAATATGTGTACCAAGTTTCAAGTTGATTGTACTCTAACTTCATCAAAAACTACCTTGACCAAAAACTTTAACCTGAAGCGGGACAAACGAACGAATGGACGCATATACCAGAAAACATAATGCCCCTCTACTATCGTAGGAGATGGACATAAAAACACCCACAGATTTTAGCAATTCATGTGTCCAATGTAATTTGTATGTGTCTAGGGAACAACTTTAACCTTTACTAATATAATGAAAAACTCTCAAGCACCTATAACATTCATAAACAAGAATGTGTCCACAGTACATGGATGCCCCACTCGCACTTTCATTTTCTATGTTCAGTGGACCGTGAAATTGGGGCCAAAACTCAAATTTGGCATATAATTAGAAGGATCATCATGATCATAGCATAGGGTACATGTGTACTTAGTTTCAAGTTGATTGGACTTCAACTTCATCAAAAACTACCTTGACCAAAAACTTTAACCTGAAGCTGGAAAGACGGACGAACAAACGGATGGACGAAGGAACAGACGGATGAACAAACGGACGCACAGACCAAAAAAACATAATGCCCCTCTACCATGTCTACTATCGTAGGTGGGGCATGGAAAAAGTACTACTGGTACATTTTTTAAACCATTTAACAAAAAATTAACACACATTTTCTGTTGCACTGTAGAGTCCAAAATTGTCTGACTTTTGTTTTATTATATAGCAACACAAAATCCGTGGAAAGTTCCAGGCCTCATTAAAAATAATACAACATGTATGTGGTTTGATTACCAATCATTTGCCAATGAGACAAATATCTACCAGAGACCAAATAAAGTAGATGTTAGCAACTACTGTAAATTCAGAAATTATTGCTATGTTATATTATTGTGAAAAATGCAACAGGGTAATAATTGCAATAATTTAAACTCGCATTTAGAAATTTTTTATTTGAATTAAACAGGATTTTTCTCAATTTCGCGAAAATTAAAATCGCATTGTAGTCTAACATGTCTAAAATAACAAAATCGCAATAATAAATGCACGCAATAATTTCTGAATTTACAGTATACATGGTATATGTCACTGTATATCATGTACTTGTATAAATTTATTCTGTAATTTGTTGGTCTCTAGGGCCTTTAGTGTTTGAGGTGTTCCAAGAACTATATAAAACTAAGAAAAAATACAAGCAATATTTACAGAGGAGGATTTAGGGGGGGGGGGGGGGGAGGGGGCTTTTGTGGGAAAATTGGGTTGATTATATAGGGGATCACTGAAGCATGACTGGAGCGGGGCCCTCTTAGGCAGTCAGTGGGCCTCCACTTATGAAAATTTCTGGATCCGCCACTGATTTAGTGTTATTTACAACTAATGATGTACCTCAACATGCTCAAATGAAGCAAGCCTACATTGTTTGTATTCAAGCCAAGACTCAACAGGCTGGTACATGAACAGTAGCTCTGCTTCATGATTCGACCAAAATGAAATTTACATTGTACAGTATATACTGTATACCCAGCTAAAAATTGAATGTACCTAGATAGAACCTCCCCCCCTCCCCCCAAAAAATAATATAAAGATGAATGGTTGGTACATGCATTTCCAATACTTGTCAAAGTCAAAAATTAAGCTTTCTCTTGATCTTTCCTGTTCATAAATCCTGAATTTTAATGCCCTACTTTTCTAATTCAATATCAGATATTTAGGAATCGGATTTTCAGTAGTCATATGGTAGTTGTCGTTTGTTGATGTGGTTCATAAGTGTTTTTCGTTTCTCGTTTTTTATATATAGATTAGACTGTTGGTTTATACCGTTTGAATGGTTTTACACTAGTCATTTTTAGGGCCCTTTATAGCTTGCTGTTCGGTGTGAGCCAAGGCTCAGTGTTGAAGACCGTACTTTGACCTATAATGGTTTACTTTTACAAATTGTGACCTAGATGGAGAGTTGTCCCATTGGCACTCATACCACATCTTCTTATATATCTATATAATAGTTGTTTCTTAGAATCTTTACTGTAAATTCTTAAATTATTGTGCATTTATTATTGTGATTTTTGAAAGAAAGGACAAAAATATGAGGTTAATTTAATATTGCACATTCTGTGACAGGAAAATCTGCATACAGATATAAATGTACATGTATCATGCTGATACCAGAATGTGAGTTTTTATTAATATTGTGATACTCATCCACTCGCATTATTCACATTCATGAAAACCTCGCAATTCTTTCTGAATTAACAGTACTAAACAATTTACTACCTTGACAATGTTTGCTATAACTGAAGTTATTTATATATACATGTACATGTACAAATGTATATAGATATCATCTGCATGCATGTGATATGCAGTGTTATTTTAATTTAAATACTGATGATACAATGTAACCATATTTAAAAAGAACATGTGAAGGTGGGCAGTCTGATGATTAACAAACTACATAATATATCTATTAGTCCAATAATGTTTTGTCATGAAAGGCTTCTTTAATTTTTTGATACATGATGCCTTCCTCAACAAATCTGCCTTTCAAGAAATCATAATATTATAATAAATATTTGGACTATGCATTTATTAAAATTGGTCAATTCAATCAACAAGTATATAAATTTGCTATTCAGGTCATACTGATGACTTTGAGTGCATGTGAAAAATACCATTTCTAAGATAATTTATCCAAGGTGCAGGCATTTTTCAGAGAAAGATGCAAGGGGGGTCTCATTGGGGGTTCTGATCCCGGATCCCACTTACTGTTTTGTCAGATTCCCGCATCCCGCTTACACTATGTATGTAAGCAATTCTCATTTTTTTGTAATTTCCCGTATCCCGCTAGACTTCATTTCCCGTGTTCATGGCACAATAATTTGACTTTCACATGTCACGCTTACAAAAAATCAGCAATCCTGCGTCACGCTTAGACCCCAATGAGACCCACTGCAAGGTCCAGGATAAGTCCAAATAATTATGACATCTAATATGATCTATGAAAGAATTTCATGCTGTTTTTTGCTTTCGACGCTTTCAACTTCCATGACTTCAAGTAGGAATCTATAAAAATAGGTGTTGAAAAATACCGAACGCCTTCAGCAAAAAATATAATAATATGGACCTGAGACTGGAATCAGGGGACAACATCACATGGTTTGTGGGCTCCAAATAAAGGGATCAGGGTTTCTTGTGTCCCAGGCTCCAAATTAGGGGCTCATGGTTCATTCGAACAAGGTTGTGTGCCCAAGCTCCAGTGTTCGGTCTCCATGCTTTGGAGGTTCATGTATGGATCCCGTCTCCAGCAATGTGGGCACAGGGCTCCGAAGGAACTGTGGAGCCAGTGTTAAAATTTACCCGACAGGATGCCTACGAAACGTAAATTAGGAACGAATTACAGGGCGAGTGTTGAGAATGGGATCTTGGCAAGATGCAGAGAACTTATTTTATTCGATATTGTGTTCATTTACTGACTAGATTATATAAATTATTGTAATTTCGTATATTTTTTGCAGTCTACTTTCGTTTTGACCACGTGTATATCATACTTGCTAACACTGAACTCGTTTTTTTTTCTTATACTGTGCTATTTTTCGCCATATGAAAGGGATGATTAACAAAAGAAACAATTTATGTTTCATAAATTTTACAAATTTGGTGTCTTAAACTTACTTTTCTTGTTAGATTTTCACGAAGAAGTGAAAATATTTTCCGCAGCAAGGTGCTTTCCATTCTGCAAACCACAAGCATCTTTCCGACGGCGATCGTCTTCTGATTGGTTCATCCTCAAAAGGAGGCGGGGTCCCGCGAGCGGACAATCTCCGCAAGAAAAACAGCTATTGCCACCGTTTACAATATAATTAAGGCACAAACATACAATATTCGCGTTTCAGAAAATAAATTACATAATATTGATAGTCGTTTTTAATTCAAATGCATGTATGTAATGCGTTACCATACATTTTTATCGATAGACGCAGCTTTCGAGCTCATCGCCATTAATGAATATATCAATATTTAATGAGGTCTTTGCGGAGTTACCTCCCCCTGACCAAATCTAATCGAAATTGCCTTAACATCACTGCGTGGGCCGAGCAGTGATGGAGTCCATAAAGTTTCTGATTTTATGGATTAGGTAATGTTGTAGAAAGACGCTTCATAATTTAATCTACAATAGGCAGAGGAGGTTGTCAGTAATATAGAAGAATACAATCAAAAGGATAATTAACTACAGGGAAATATTTATATTGAGAGGCGATAATCCTAGCATTAACATTAAGCTCGACGAAATGTAAAAAAAAACCTATTCATTCCGAAATGGGTAAAACATCATTTCAACCAGCTACTCAATGTTCATGAAACTTGTCCTTGCCCTATGTGCCATAAAGCATAGCAAGGACTAAGTAAGTAAGTAACTCAATGTTGATGCAACATGTTAGAAAAAAATACTTCTAAGCACAGTATTATAAGTGCAAGACAAGTTTCTAAGGTAAGCTCAAATAAGAGTAAACATATTTATTGATTGATTGTTCGTTGCTTCACGTCCAGTGGCAAATATACCATGCATGTTCTGGAAGAAAACAAGTTAACAATAAATACAATCGGTGGGTAGTAATAAAAGAGGTCATCCAGAATGATGGTCGGGGAAATGTGGAGTGCCACTGGAAAGGAGGATTAATTAGATAGGGACAGAAATTTCGCCTTGCAAGAGACCACCTACGGACCCCTCAAACAGCCGAAATAGAGAATAATGTAGTGTATAATAGGCACAGTTTTACAAGAAAAAGAAAGATCTGTGGTTCCCTGAAAGAAAAGTAAATAGCAATAAAAAAAATATAAACTTGATTCTGGTGATATGTATCATTCTAAGTGGTTAAATTAATTAAAAGATATATTATCTGAGTGTAGTTTTATTACGGAATCTGAAAAGTTATGGACCCACTAACTTACTGCCACAGGGAGGGTCTAGGTTGCTGTGGTAAGTATACTTCTAACTGCAAAACAAAAGATTCAATAGTCAACGCACTTATATTGAGCAACTCTGACATTATGGGAAGGAGAAGTGCGTGTAAGATTGAATATAATTAATCTCTTGCCTATGTTTGTGCATATGTGTGTTGTGTTAGGGGTGTTACACTTCTTACATGTAATTGTCTTTAGGGATTGAGTATAAATATTAAATAAGTTTTCAGAACTTCTGACAAAATTGAATACACCATAATAAAGCAAAAATTGCTTTAACAAGTAGCAGGATGAATGTTGTGGCAGGATAGATGACGTGGACACAATTTCTTTAATAAAGTATCCATGACTGCTGAATGACTACATCTGTCTATAACTTGTGTTTTGATCACCTGAATGTTTTACCTCATATTATATTTAGACAGCATTCTGTTCTGTCTGATGCATTGCACTGACCAAGTATATATCAGTATAGTGTCTCACTTTACTCACGGTTTTGCATTTGCATGTCTGTGATGTAAGTAATTGTGAGTAACTGAATAGTATTTAAAAATGATGAACGGTTCTTTATATTGGTATGTAATCATTTTAAACGTTTCAAATTTATGAAATTATATTTGCACATCAATGTCTTTGATACACCAATAACAAAAACTGAAATCTATTGAATTGATAAATTTTGTAATTATTCAAAATTAAATCAGAAACCTATACTTAATTATAAAATAATGAACCTGTTCAAGGGAGACAATACTCGCATTACTAAGATTGACTTTTTCGAATCGGTACATTCCATTTCAATTTTGTTATAGTTTTGTCAAATAAAGATGTTATATTCATTAATTAAAGATTTCTTGCTATTGTACAATAATTAAATGTTTTATTGAACTTTCGGAAAAGACTAATTGAAATGTGTGAGGAGCACAACAAATCATGCTATCCACATATCAAACCTGCTTGATGAATCAGAGTGGCAGTAAGGTCATGAAAATTCCGAAGAGGGTGCACTTCCTAAAAAGTTGACATACCTAGGAAAGGAAAAGAAAAGATTTATGAAATTAACGGTATTTGAGTGCTTTTACAAACATGCCAGCACCAATTATTACAACCTGGAAAATGAAGAAATACTATACATTATCTCTAGGATGAGTTACGAGAGTTGTGGGGTTTTATTGAACCATCCCATCGATGACGTCGTTTTGATGACATACAGATTTTCAGATAAACAATATCAACCAAATGATTTATTTTCATCCGATTTTAAATATGGAGATCTACCTAGATTAGTTTAACTAGAATGTCTTTAGTGAGAGCACATCTGTTTATTCCACTAGGTCGTAGAGGTGTCCCACAATTGTCAACAAATGAAGTGCAACAAACAAAAGAAATTGCTAATCGTAGAATTCACATTGAGCAAGCTATCCAATTATATGTTTGAATCATCTACATCTTATATCAGTTCGGCTACTGCGTCCAATAACAAACTGGCACAGGCCCGTAAGATTCTGAATAAAGTCATTTATAAAAAATGAGAATTTATGTCAGCAAACAGGATTACTTTGAATGTGGGGGAAAAATGTTTTGAAACTTCACCCAAGTTTCGTTTTACCTTTTCTTTTTAACGCTAGATATGGTTATACTGGTGAGCATGATATTATCATTGACCACGATCAGACACATGTCCATCATACTATTTCGTTTCTCCATCATGAAGGCATCGTTGACATTCAAAATTTACGACAAATAAAAGGAGAACTACTAGAAATCCAAGTGGTATGATCGCCAAGATAAATGATCACAGGCTAGAAAAAATATATAAGGCAGACTTTACTTAACTTAGATAGCCTTCAAATTTGCTAGGCTATACATGGTTGAAAGTGTATTTGCATGAACAAATTATTTGGTTTCACATGTTGTGTTAGCTTAGATCAATCAACTTTAGTTTAGTTTTGACATTTTTATGGTTTATTTTTAGATGTATGTGCCAGATTTCACGATAGACAATCCTAATGTGTCCTCATCTGATGAAACATGATAAATAAATAAATTAATGTTTATTCCCAATTGAATCTTAATTTGTGGCTATCAACAATGTCTGTATTGGGGAGATGAAGTTTATTGTGAGATAATGGAGGAGGTCGGACTTTATCATCACGTCGTCTTTCTTCAATGGCTTCACTATAGCAAATTTTCTTCCACTGAATATTGATGACAGAAATCATCTGGAAGAAAGAGTATCACTATTCAGACCTTCAAGGTCACGATTTACCGCTGCATCATCTAATGGAAGACGCAAAGTGAATACTAATAAGATACGCACATGGACATGTGAATTTGTTTGCATGTCCAAAAAGGACGCAATTAAAACACCAACTGCAGAAGAAAAGGTCGCTTTATCAAGAGCAGGAATGGGCATAAAAACAATGCAATTTGCATTAAGTGATGACGAGGCAACGTTTCGACGACATCTCATCAGCTCGGAGGGATTTAGTAAGCTAAATCAGTGTGGGGGATTCGAGCTGATGATATGTCAGAGTAACTGTAGAGTACTAGAGGTGATTGCAGGAAAATGGACGCCGGAAAGCTTGAGGTCTTAATATTGGCAGTCAGTCAAAAATTTATATTCGGCCACTTCAAAAAGATATTGATTTAATAGACAGTGTTGCTTATATTGTACATAAAACTAATATAAAAGAAATGTGCTTAAATTGTCAAGGAAAATGTTTAGTGTCTGACCTTCGAGAACACGTGAAAGACTGTTATTCTGTTAATAATATTGATGTACAAGATAATGTGGCCAATTCAGAATCTACAGCTGAAGTGCCGGAAGAGGATGTGACAGAACCTGCTGCGGAAACGACATCAACTAGTGATCTTATTACCAATGCCATTTCAGTAGATGATCTTATTACCAATGCCATTTCAGTAGATGATCTTATTACCAATGCCATTTCAGTAGATGATCTTAATACCAGTGCCATTTCAGCAGACGATCTTCCAGATCTGTATATGCCTCGACACATTAATGAAACTGCTATTGAAACGCCGGATCTACTGCAGCAAATAATAAATTCATGTATAGATTTCTGTAATGAAAATAAAATAACAGATCCTGTAGATATACTGAGGTGTATCCAAAAAAGATAGGTTTATGGTCGAGACTTGGATCTTGTTGATGATTCAACAACTATCGATGGCGAAACAAATTTTATAATGGTAAACAGAACCAGTTTAGTTGAAACAGCTTTTGAAGAAATTGCCGGCCTTACTGATATAAGATTGACTTTACAAGTCCAGTTTTATGATGGAAAGGTAAGGTAACTGTAACATGTTTAATAGTAATCATACTTCTTATCGTCTTGACCTTGTTATAGAGTATGAATGATTCGGTTATTGTTAAAGGGCCTATACGTCGACTTTCAAGATGAAACATAGGAATAAAAGGTTGTTGATAATATTTATTTTTTCTATGCTTTTTTTGTCAAATGTACATTTACTTCAAATCTCTTTATTTTCGTTTAATGATTACTGTTTGGAATCATCGAATAAATACTAATACATGTATTGAATTTGAATGAACGCGAAAAGATATTTTAAACTGATTATCAACCAACAGGTGTAGGAGCGGTGTTGGACGAGATTTCTTTAATTGGTGCACAGATGCTATATACATACATAAGCGCCCAGATGTTAAGAATCTCGTCTCGTTTCGAATGTAAACATATATTTATTTTTGAATCAAATATCGGAAGTAAAGAACGACGTAGACATCATGGATGTGGAATTTTTCTCTATGCATTCACTATAAAGGTTCCCATATTAAAGAGCGATGAAGACCTTAACAAATAGATTTTTTTTTTCAATATAATCTTTATTACCATTACACCATAATATATAGCATGTGTCACAACATAAGAGGGGATCGGACTTTTATCGGGACTCCGGGATCGGGTGTTTTTAAGCTCGGGATTTCGGGATCCGGGAATTCTTATTCCGAATTTCGGAATGTCGGATTGAAATTTCTTTAAA